TCTTGAAATGTTATGTTTATTTATCAACAGCAGGAACCTTTAGGAACCAGTCGTTTGATTTTTAGAATTCCGGGGTGTCCAAGTATCATATTCACTGAGTAACTGGAAACAAGAGGTTAAAAAAATCTGAAAATTCAGTTGTAATTTTGAATTGTCTTTCTATAAGATTCTTCTTCTACATATGGCTATGTTTTTATTACATAAGTCAGTATCATTAATTAAAGAGAAATGAACTGCACTGGACAAAACTTGAAAATTTTCCAATCAGTTTTGGAGGAAATAATAATTAACAAAATCTTATTCTGAACAGATTACTCCTTCTTTCCATTTCATCTTCGTGTTTGTTTTAGTTTTGTTCTTAGTTATTGTTTGTAAGCTTTTTATTCTAATAAAGAATGTCTGCTATTACATAGTGCTAACTGTAATTTCTTTTATGTGTATTTAGCCTTACCCAAACCTCCTGGAACACCTGTGGTGACAGAAAGCACAGCAACTAGCATAACATTGACTTGGGATTCTGGAAACCCTGAGCCAGTTTCTTACTACATAATCCAACACAAACCCAAAAACTCCGAGGAGCCATATAAAGAAATTGATGGGGTGGCCACAACACGTTACAGCGTGGCTGGCCTAAGCCCATATTCAGAGTATGAATTTCGGGTAGTTGCTGTAAATAACATTGGGCGAGGGCCACCCAGCGAGCCTGTGTCAACACGGACTTCAGAACAAGCACCTTCAAGTGCACCACGCAATGTACAGGCCCGAATGCTGAGCTCCACCACCATTCTGGTACAGTGGGAAGAACCAGAAGAACCTAATGGGCAAATACAAGGTTACAGAGTTTATTACACCATGGACCCCACTCAACACGTCAACAGCTGGATGAAGCACAATGTGGCTGACAGCCATATTACCACTATTGGGAATCTTGTACCCCAGAAAACATACTCTGTGAAGGTTCTTGCTTTTACTTCTGTTGGGGATGGACCACTTTCTAGTGACATTCAAGTCATCACTCAAACAGGAGGTAAGCTAGTAATGAGCAAAATTCGTGAGAGAGACTTTCAGTTTAAAATATTGCAAAAAAGACTACCCCTTAAGTATAGCTAGTTTATTCAGGTAGTTTTTGCAGATAACCTTTTCTCAATTCCACAGTGCAGGTTATCTTTGCAGAGTGGAAATTACCCCATCATGCCTTCTTTTTCATCAGTGTCAAGAAATATATCTGCAGTCCAACTGACATCTCAGGGAGACCTCATCCTGAAGGTGGCCAAATCTTATGGTTTTTGGCAATGCTGTGTGCACTAAACCTACTTGTCAGTAATTCTTCATAGGGTTTTTTTTTGAGATGTTACTTGTGTGTTTTGGTGGGTTTTCTTTAGGCAACATGCAGTTCTATGCTCTATCACTCTAGGGAATATTGCTTTTTTAAATTTAAAATGTATGTGTATGTATTCAAATAGTTGGTATGATTCTGAGAACACTGAAAACATGAGACCATTAAATACAACAAACCTTTGTGTAGGTTCAAGCAAGCAGGTTTGGATTTATAAGTCAAATCAAAGCTGTCCCAACAAAATGCATACCGCAGGGTCACAATTTTCTTGGTTTATGTTTGCAGTTAGGTTGTTTTGTTTCTTTTCAAGAACTTTTAGGTCCATGAATTAGTTTTATTAGTAAAGGACAAGCAAGCACAATAAAAAACATGGCAGAAAAGTTTTTATGAAATCTAAAGTGAGAAGCTCTGGTAGAGTTACACTGCACAAAGTGTTTTATTGTAGCAATAAGAAAAAATGGTCCTTTTGTCTAGCAGTTTAGCGAAAGCTGTATGAAGTATTACTGTAGGCCAGTGATTTCCTAGAAATATATAATAGTACTTGAATTTTTTAGTACAGGAAAGTTTCCTGTTGCAGAATTTAGCATCATTCTAATTCTTAAAATCAGATCTGTAAAGTATAATTGTAGACTGTTTTTTCATCCAGTTTTTACTTCTGCATTTTATCAACATGCATTTAATAAAGACAGAAATTGATGTATTGTCCTGGAATCATTCTAGGTGTTGTGTTGCACAAAGATCTAGATGTTACCTTTTGCAGCATCTCAACTAAGAAGTTATAAAATTTGCATGTGCAAATGCCAATATATACACCATAGTTTAATTTTGGCATTTGCAATCATTTTCAAAGCACTAGTTTTTATATTGACATCTGAGTTCTGGTTGAATCCACACGCATAAGGCTTTTCCAGAAGAAGGTTTAGTGAGCTCCTTATCTGTGTGTTCACTCACAACTGTAAACCTCTTAGATTAGCAAGTGTCTGACAGTGGCTTCCCCAGTGAAGGATGAAGGAATCAAAATAATGAGCACTGAGGCTCAGCTGGCGTGGCCCAAGTTACATTACTTTCTGAGGTCACTTCAGAGAAGTAAGCATGTCTATCTGTTTCTGATTACTGTTGCAATCTGAAGAAATTACAACATTAACAGGGCTGGAGGGATTCTCAATACATTATTTCAATGTTTAATTGTGACTGTTAAAAAATTGGAAAAAAAACAAAGAATGGGGCATACAGAAAGAATATTTAAGCACTGATACTTTTACATGAAATACAAATTTTTTAAGTCATAAAAGAGATAAAAATGACAAAAGTCTAGTGAAGTTGTCCGGTTCAGGGTATGGTCAAAAACTAGGATTTGCCCATCTCTCTATCCATTAGATTCTCTTCAGTAAACATCATAGAAAAAAATTCCCTCCTTGCCCTTCTCTTCCCAATTTGCTTTAATGTAATCTGAATAGAATATGATTGTTTTAGTTAAAACCTCTCAAGATTAAACATAGTCCAAATATTAAAGGGAATATAAAGTGCCATTTAAGGACAGGGAAAATGGATTTAATGAAAACATTTTAAAAGAGTTAAAGTAGGAATGGGATGCTGATTACATTTGGTTGGTTTTATTTTAAACAAATAAGCCTGCTGTTATATATATATTTAGCTTAACCCTCACTTTGGGGGTATTAGAGCATATATAAAAGAAAATCTTGCTGACATATGTGACTTACAGGCTCTGTTAGAAGGTTCAGACTTTTCCTGCCTTAAGTGTATTCTGATCTTTGGAGAGAGATTATAAAAATGAATAATTTCTTCTTAAAAAAACTGTTCAGAGGAATTTTTGTTTTCTTAGTATAGCAGAATTATTCTTTTGAAATGGGTGTATGAATGTCTTCTTTCTTTTCAGGTCAGCTGAAATTCTGCTGGTAGTGAAATTTAGATTTTTAATTAAAATACTTACTGGGAGCATGTAGTTTGAGGGGTAGATAAGGATATATTTTTCAGACAACCCGACATGGTAAAAAACCCCAAAAAAGTGCTATTTTCAGTGTTCAGTACTTTTTATTAAGCATTTGAAGGCAAAGCCATGTCATATTGCCCAGTTGTTTTCAGCAGTGCTTTCTTTATGGAAAAAAGACCCAATTTTAATAGATTCTGTAATCAGAAAAAAGTTGCGCCTTTTGAGTAAAAGGAAATAAATTCCAAAAGTTAAGGAAGTCTTTACTCTGCATTTTGGACCAAAAGATTAGATTATGTTGAGGATGGAGTCAGGACAGGTCTATTATGTACGTTAATACACTTACCAAATTTTAGAATAAAGAAATATTGATATAAGTTTTACTGTGATACTTCTTTTATTCTTGTCTTGTTCTTACTTTGTTAGAAAACAAAATTTGTTTGTGTCCATTTTGGCTGCTCAGGACACACTATTCGTAACTTCTCTGAAGGGCTTAAACTGGTCATAAGAATGTTATTTTAAACATATTTTAATCTGTGTTTACCAAGAAAACACAGAGTTTTGAACTGTCTGGTTTGGGGTTTTCATTTAATTTTTAACCTGCAAAGAGAGGATAGCTACTAAAGGAATTAGTGAATCTTCTTTTTCTTCAGAGCTTAGATAGAAAGACAGGAGAGAGGTACACAAGGTCTATTGGATAGTGGGTAAAGGTAAAAAAAAAAAAGAAAAAAATATTCAAGGAAATAAATTTGTAGCTGTTAGTATATGTTTCTGTGGATAAAACTTAAAACACAAAACATATTATTAGTTTAAAATGAAAGATTCTCCTTTATTTGAAGACTAAGGTTTATTACAATGATTAAAGGACAGTGTTTTGAACATAGGAAAAAGGACAGTAATGAGAGGGTCAAATATCTGACTTGCAGGGCACATAAATGGACCCTTAGATTCAACAAAAATGTTTCTGGAGTTCTTGTGGTAAAAGAAGATTAGAGGTTTAGAGAAAGAGTTGGTAGCAAGTACTGTTCTGTGTTGTAGCTACCTACTTTACCAGATATTTAAATTTTTTTCATGAACATGTGAACAGGGAAACCTGATGTCTCTTAAACTCCACAGTCCTAGCCTAGTAACTTTTGCAGCATTTAATGAAATGGACCTCTGCATGAAAAGAGTTGAGAGCATGTACCTAGAAACTCAAAAAGCAAGAAGGCAGGTAGGAGAAATTTAGGATTGAAAGGGACCTCTGGAGATCATCCAGGCCAACTCCTCTGCCAAGTCAGGGTCACCTGGAGCAGGTGACAAAGGAACACGTCCAGGTGGGTTTTGAATGTCTCCAGAGGGAAACACCACAACATCCCTGGGCAGCCTATTCCAGTGCTCAATATAAAGAAGGGCTTCCTCAGGTTGAGGAGAAATTTCTTGTGATTTAGTATATGGCCACTTCATCATCTTCTCTCTGGGCACCACTGGAAAGAATCTGCCACCATCCTTGTGGCATCCCCCTTTCAGATACCTACATGTATTGATGCTGAGGCCAGGTATAGGATAGATTTTTAAGTGACTTAGATTTTAAAACTTCCCTCAAGTGACATTTCTGGTCAGGTAGGAAAGACTATTTCAGCTTTTTAATAACTCCCTGACTCTCAATGCACAGGTAACTTTTGTTTAGTGCCATAGTGTCTATTTTACTTCATTTAAATGCTAACAACATGGTTCAGTATTGAGGATCTTAGCTTCACACTCTGATAATTCATCTCTTCACTGTGTTCTTGACTGGCTAACACATTTATTTTATTGTCTGAGCTCCCACTATGTCAGTTAGAGATAATATTTTAATAAACTGATCTATGGATTTCTGACTACTTTTTACATAATATACTATGCTTTTTTTAAAATCTGAAATGTATAGTACTTAATTATTTTGAGTACTGTGGTTTGTTTTCTGATACTGCAAACCTCAGGTATCTTCAGACTCATTCAAAGAAATTATTTCATTTGTAGCAGAGACAAGGAGAGCACAATGCACATATGATTTTGTATGTTAGACAGTGCATATTTTATTTTGTATGTTACCTATTTTATTTTTTAATTATATTCTATTAGAATTTGTTATTTCAAAATATACATATATTGTTTACGGAGAAAAAGTGCTGGAGTACAATAGCTCTTCAGTTGTAAGAGGTTCTCTGTAGAGTTTTATGCTTCTTTCAGAGAAATCAGAAGCATAAATTCTTGGTCCCTTTAGGTTCCCTACTGATTGTAAATTCTCTTGGTCAATTTATTGCCCTTTGCAAAGCTGATTTCTTACTGCACTCATTGAGTTTTACTCAAGGTATGGATTTCACCTTAACAATGTCATGGGACTATTTCTATCCTGTAGACTCTCCCCTTTTTCCATTATCACTTGCAAACCCAATATGGTCCTTCCTTTTCTGGTTACCTCAGCCAGCTGAAGAGCTGTGCAGGGAACTAAAATGCCTTACTGAAGTCCTATTTTATGATCTTTTTATGGCATTTTAATCAGGGATGGAGATAAAGCCACATATGCAGGACAAAGTCCAGCAATCTGTTTGTTCCTGGTTATCCAGCAATAAACATGGAGGAATAGGCAAAAGAAAATGCAGAAGTGAATGTGAAGTTTTGGAAAAAGTAGTTGTGGACTTCATTCTTTGTTTTGTTATTGCATTGTAGTCTTTTGTTGTGTGTACTGCCTAAGATATATTTAGAAGAAAGGAAAGAAACACTTGGAGCACACAGAAGTTAGGGGTTTTAATATACTCTTGTATTGCCCTCAAAACAGAAAAGACAGTATTGAGAGAATGCTCATGCAAAAACATCCCACTTAGTGGACTGCCCGTGTACTGTACTAATATGGAGTTAGATTTGATGTGTGACATTAAAAACACTTCTGTAAGAGTGTAAAGTCCACCTGCATATACTTGGCAGTTTCTCTGGGCTTTTTTATTTTTCTGAAGGAGACCAGTAGCTTCTGTCAGCTCCAGCTTGGCTTAGCTCCCATGTGCCACTGAAAATTTTTTTACCAGATGTGTGTTCTAGGCATAAATCTTAAATGGCTTAAAAGTAATTGTTCTACTTCCTTAACTGGTACTTCTCCTTTGGTACTGGGTTCCATACCAGAGTTTATTGGCAATAAAGCGTGTTTAGTTTCTGTTATTTTGGTTTTGTTTTCTCTCTTCGTCATCTTCTCTTACCTGTTTGGTGCAATGCAGACTTCCTTGTCACCTTTTTCTTCTGTCAGTGTTCAATATCAGAGTTGTCTAACCATGGTTAAAAAATCCAAGGGGAGGCTAAGTTTTAAAGCAAGATATTATTTTGACAAACAGCATTTGGAAAAGTCCAATTAGCCATCAGCTTGTATTATAAAATGATTGAGAATTGCAGACCTAAGATGACAAAGGGTTTGGGTTTTTCTAAAATGAATACTTGGAGAATGAAGGCCTTAAAACATGTAGAGAGTCAGGAAATACCCTTAGTTCTCCATCTGCTGCCATATTTATCATAACAGATGGTACCAGTCTTCATATGAGTCACTTGACTGATCATTTACTATTATTGTCTGGCTGTGTTCTACAATTCATGTATCCATACATTGAGTAGGGATCATAGATAGCATCACAGGACAATTGAGGCTGGGAGGATGATTATCTGCAGAGGTGTCCAGCCACAGCCACTGCCCAGAGCAGGCTCAGCTCTGGGGTCAGACTGGGTTTCTTAGGGCTTCACCCACTTGATGTGTAAAATGCCCCAGGGCTGGCATGATCCGACCTCCTTGGGTGCTGGCTGTATTTCTGCATTGTCCTGAGCCTCTCATGTTTCAGCCACTGCCTCTCTCTCACCTGCCACACTCTGTGAAGAGCCTGGCTACATCTCTTCCATCCCTTCTGTCACTGCTGGGAGGGCTGTTGAGAGCCATCCATTCTCCCAGCTGAACCATTGCCATCACTGCAGCCTCTCCTTGCAAAATTACAATCTGTCACAAATACTTAGTTGATGTTTCCTCTAAGGCTCCCCATGCTTTGAGATCATTTCCTCTTTGCACTTTGCAGGACCCAAGCAGTGGATTCTTTTTAGATCAGACAACTTTTAGGAAAACATCTAATTAGTCCTGTCCCTTTTTATTCCTGTAAAAGACGTGGTCTCCTTTTACTCTCACTCACTCATTAAAAAGAAAAAAAAGAAAGAAAAATAAAAAGTCCACCCAGGAGCTGGAAGAATATGCATCTCATGTATAAAGGTTCTGTTTGTTGAAAGTTAGATATCAAATCTGCACCAGAATACACAAGGGCAGTGTCTCAAATTGATATTCTGTAGAAGTCTGGAGAAGATAAAAATGAAAATAACAAATTATTTTAACAGCTTACTCTCTGAAGTTTTTAGGTCTTTTACTGTACTAAAAGAACATACTTGTAATGCTGTCACAGAATTCTTCCCTGATAAATGTTTATGAAACCATCATTATTGTCACATCCTATTTCTTACGCCTGTTCTCAGTGTGTGCTAAGAAGTCCATCTTTTTATTTTTCCCCTGAAAAAATGAGAGCATGTCACATTTTATTCTTGAACAGCTAGAGATGCTGTGGAAAACTATTTCATGCCTTATCAATGGCACTATTAAGTTAATAGTTAATAGTTCTAAAAAATATTTTAGAACTTGGGTGCCAAAAGAATTGTACACAATCCATTTTCACAGTCAACCTTATCATTTGCTTCACATTCGCAGAAGTAAATTAGGATAGCATTTAGTCTGGATAATTTCTGTGACCATTGCACAAGATTCAAAAACAGAGAATGCTATTGACTAGTGCACTCAAAAGTGTTTTTTTATTTCTTGCAATTAGAAAATGTTGTCACTAGAAATTCAACTATATTCTTAAAAATACAAGTCATTAAAGGGTGAAAAAACTTTACCTAATGAAAAATTAGCTATCTCTTCACTAGGTTATAACTACTTCAAATTAAACAAGCTGAGATTTGTATGTAGGTGCCTTCTTTAAGACTAGGATATGTTTACTGTCTTTCATTTATGAGCTGAGAAAAAAAATTAATGTCTGGAAATGCATCTAATAGTTTTAATACTTTATTCTAATCTATTTCAGCTATTCATATGTTCTATGTTCTAGCTTCTTCTCATGCACACACAAATATATAGATGTATATATTTGCCATTTCACACATAGGTTTTTAGATTGCTGGCATTCATCACCAGGCATATCTTCAAATGCATTTCAATTCTGTTTGCTTTATTTACACTGAAAAAGCATTTATTTGAAATCCTTGATAAATTTTAACAATTAAATGAATTTAAAATATCATTTTACTTTTTCTCTGCTTAGATAATTTTGTTTCAGAGTACTGTGAATCAGTTTAAGTTCAGTAAGATAAATAAAAGTAATATTGCATGCCATGTTCAGATAACATTTTAAAGCATCTGAAAATATTGAAGTATCCAAGTAAATAATTGGCCTCACTGCTCAACTTTTCTTTAGTGCCTGGTCAACCACTGAACTTCAAAGCAGAACCTGAGTCTGAAACAAGCATACTGCTTTCCTGGACACCTCCACGGTCTGATACCATTTCCAGCTATGAACTGGTTTACAAAGATGGGGAGCATGGGGAGGAAGTAAGTGGCAAGACTGTACATATTTTGAATGATCTTTAATAAGTTGGGTATAAAATGTGGCAATGGTTTAACTTCCATATTTTAGTAACTTATTTTAGTACAAATGCCTTGATATTTAGGTTTGTTAAGCTCAGCTGTTAGCCTAGTGACAGACTTAAAGTGTGTAAACAGCAGAAAATGTTGTCAATGGTTACCAGACAATGGAATTTTCCTGTAGATGGCAATGAATCCTCCACAGAAATTCCATTCAGTTTCAGACATTGATTATGTCTCTCTGAGCCTATTCATCTACAAAGAATTGGAAGCAAAAATATGTGAGGACATTTTATGAGCCCATTAAGTCTTTTTAGAACTTATACCTGAACTCTGAAATCTATTTTCAGACTTAGATAATTTTTGTTTCTTTGTGCCATTGTGTAAGAAAATTCCTGAGCTTTTCTAATCTTTCAGTAATAATGGAGAAGAAAACAGGAGGTTCTTTCTAAAGATTAAGGCCTGCTATAGACTTTTTCCGTACCACTACTTCATAAAAAATTTTCACTTTGTGGGCATCTATCATTTTTGTCCCATAAATTTTAGAATAAACTGTTCTTCTGGTAGGGAAAAGGTGGTATTACCAGGTGTCACACAGAAAAGAAAGAAGCCAACATTCTCAGAAAGGCACAGGAGATTTTCAGCCTCATGGGTTTCTCTTGCATCTTCAAGTCCTTGCTGATGCTTCAACTGAGCAGCTTCACACATACTGTGGATTCATAAGCATATTTTGTGTAAGGGGGCCAGGTCTGTATTTCACTTCCAAATAGAATGCAGGCTGTTGCTTAGTAAGCTACCCTGTGGAAGAATTTGCTTTTAACAATTTGAATACAAATTTGACTACAAGGTTAAACGCAAGATAATTTACACTACAAAATCACTGTTGCATAAGACAGTTATAGGTAAGGCTTAGTTCATGTGGTATTCTATGAAAAGCTTTTCATACTTTGGATTTGGATGTAGTTTTGTGGCTTTGTGGCTCTGAGTTTCACCCATTAAACTGTTGACTTTAAAAACAGTTTATTACTATTTGTCAAAAGAAATTTATTCGGGTTTAGTTTTGTTTAGTTTGGTTTTGTTCTGCTTTATTTTCTAGAATCTAAGTTTTTCTCTGTGGTTTTATCCCAGTACAAAAGCATACAGGCAATATTTATGGAATTCAGAGTCTCTGAATACTAACTATTCTCTTATAATCTACATTTAGCAACGTGTTTCCACTGAACCCACGACATCGTATCGTCTGCAAGGCTTGAGGCCAAACAGCCTGTACTTGTTCCGCCTAGCTGCACGGTCTCCTCAAGGCCTGGGTGCCTCAACAGCAGAAATCTCAGCCAGAACCATGCAGTCAAGTAGGTGTCTTTCCTTGAAATATTTATTCTCTTTGTTTCTATTAATCTCAGTAGCCCAGGTAGGCAGAAACAGAGAAAAAAGCAAAATACAGTATTCATGTTACTTGATACAGCAAAAGGATGCTTAAAATTATGAGTTTGGAGGTGTATCATGATCAACTTAATATATGAGTGTTTTTACATAGTTTCAAAAAATAACCCAAATAAATCAGTGTCTAAGGAGGCAATATAAAGTTGGCATAATGAAATTTTATTTTATAATAAGGTGAAATGTTGTATCATGTAATAGGTATATATTAATAAAAGTCCTTAACCAATCAAATTCCACTTCCCTACTCTGCACACTTCCTAGGTTGTTTCTGCAGCATCTCCCTGAAGTGCAAAAATTTGTATCAAAAAAGTGGATCAGGTTGAATATTTCAGACTGTACCAGATATTTCCTAACAACTTGTTCATCCGGGCTTTTTATGATGTTCAGTCATTTCCACCTTGAGAAAAACAGTTATAAATATAAAAATTTGTCAGGGACTTGTATATACACCTTAAAACATTTAAATTAAGACTTAACTAAAGCAATCAGCTATACAGCAATGATGTCCAGAAGGATTATTCTTGCCTGATAAGTTATATTTTCCTGACAGTTTGCATTACAATGTTTCATTGAAAAACTTAGTACAATTTTGGTTTTATTTTTTTTTTAATTAAATTAACTGTCCTTAAAGCAAGATAATTCAAAACAGAAAAATCAGTTTCTCCATTGGCAGTAGTCTTTCTAATTTGCAGTCATGACATGTGATTACACAATCATTCCTTGTTAGTGTTATGTATTAATATCAATTAGTGTGACTGGAGACACAGTACTGCTCACCTTTAAGCAAAGCTAAATGTGTTTCTGAAGCACTTCTAAGGCACTTGGAATAAGCACAAAAAACCACATGTAACACAAGGTTAGTTCTAGATATAGTGGCAAGGCAATTTTTCAGTTTAGTAATTCAGAATAAATAATTTGATTAAGAAATAGGTGTTTGTTTATTCTGAGAGCCATTTCAACTATTTAGAATGCTCATTATCTTATATTGTGAGAAGATTGCTTACAAAACATACATCTAGGAGCCAAGGCTGTGTGTTCCTTATATAAACACATTGCCATTTTCTCTTCTTGCATATAAGAATATGTTATGTTTTTCTGAGCCTTGTGTCTTCAGATAGTTGCAAAAATCCAGTTGATTTCAGTGGTCAGATCCAAGTTATTTGCTGCAAAGATTACTTTTTTTTTAAATGTGCAATTAAGAAAAAACATATATGCATCAATAAAACTGATTAAAGTAGCCTTCAAATTAGCTTCAGTTATATAAGTGCAATATTTTGCATTTTCAGAGTATAATGGATTAAAAATTAATAAACTTCTGTGATTTTATTAGCAATATTCACCAGAATGTGCTACTGCCTTTCATCTTGGTATCAGAGGAAGATGATGCAAGGATTTATTTCTTTTTTGTAAGACCCTTAAGGGACATTTTACATGTGTTTCACTTCTTGCACAAGTTAATGGTAGAAGGGAATCCATTTCTTTTGAGTAGTTGATTACTCAATTAGTCTGTAAAAATAACCCAAAATGTATTAATTCTCATCTGTTCTTCCATCCACCTCCTCTAGTTAATTGAAATATTAGTAAATTCCCTCCGATCTTCTCTTTGGAGGAACAGTGTACCATACTGAGTAAAAAGCCATTGATCCCTGTAGAAAGAACTATGGGGAACCAAAAGCTACATGTGTAAATGCAGTAGGTCACAGCAGGGTCCTAGGCCCTCTCTGTTCTTTTAATTTTGTTTGATGCGACTATTATATGTATGTATAAGTATCCGTTTGTTTCTTTTTTCCCTTAAGAAATGGGAAGAAAAGGTGGAGAGGGGGATGTAAAGGGGAAAAAAGATCTTGCACACAAAATTTATGCTTTTCTGACAAGACAGAAATAGGAAATCAGTTCACATCCCCTCCTTCTGCTAGTGAGTTTGAATTATGCCTCCTTTTTTTGGTGCTCTGAATGATCTGTTAGTAAGCATAGATTTTGGTAAGTTAAAGTGCATTTAAGCACATAAATGCATACCTAACTTTCAGTGCTTGGTTTGCCTCACTGAAAGCAGTGGAATGACATGCATGCTTAAATGCTCTGAAGCTTGGAAAATGTAAATATGCTAACATACTCCTTTGAGAACAAATGACTAACGGTGAGCACTTCTGCTCTGAAGACTAGTGATGCTGACAGGAGTTGAAACAAAGTCAGAAACTCACATTCTGATGCATTGAGCTTGTAAACTTACTTTTGTAAAATGAACACCTGCTTTCTTTACACGTTGTTTGGGGTAGATTTTTTTATCTGTAGAAATAATATACATTATTGGTAGCATTAATTCTTTGCTAGCAAAGGTGTCTGCAAGAGGAGTTAAAAAAATAAAACTGACAGCTGATCTAGGGTAAGTACAAGTTACAGTCAGAATCAGCAAGCCTGTCACTTTTTCCTGGTAGGTAAATCTTTGACTAAGACTTTCGCCATCTTCTATGGACTGCATGCTCATAGTATGTTAGCTGTAATAAATGCTTCAATAAATGCTATCAATTTAAATGTAATTTATGGTTGACTTGTGTCAGGCAGACTCATTAAAAAGAACCAGTAATTTGTTTATGAGAGTGAAAAGGCTGCAAAAACTGCAACCGATGGAGCAATTTGTAGCAATTATTGCAAGTTTTTAGGAATTATGTAAAAAGAGATTTTCTGTCTTAAGGAAGTAAAGCCACTTGAAGGGGATGTCAAAATTTGTAAGTAAATACATGTCATGTGTTACTTAAAATGTTAAAATTAGCTTGCACTAATTGCAAAGATTTTAAAGATAGATCAGTAGTCATAGAGGTATCACGTTTTTGTTTTATTTCAAGAAGAATTTTACTTACAGGTAGGTAATGTTATTTTGAGGCTTCATTTTCATATATTTCCCCTACATCCTTTTTCACCATTTAGTTTGCCTGTTCATTTTCAGTTTCCTTATGTTAATAAGCCAAGGTGCATAAGATTATCTGATGTTTTGCTTTTTTGAGTTTCTACTTTTTTTTGTTTATTTATTATTTTCATTTGTTTATTTATTTTTTCTTTTGTTCATTTTTTTCAATCACTTCTATCCTTCCACTCAAATCCTCCTTTAACCCACTACTGAAATTAGAGCCATCAGCTCCTCCTCAAGACATTAGTTGCACAAGCCCCAGCTCCACTAGCATTTTGGTAAGTTGGAAACCTCCACCGGTGGAAAAACAGAATGGCATTATCACTGCATACTCCATCAAGTACATTGGAATTGATGGAGAAGATGTCAAGCCCCATGAAATTTTGGGAATTTCCTCGGACAGTACCCAGTACCTTTTGGAACAGCTGGAAAAGTGGACTGAGTACCGGATCTCTGTGACTGCTCACACTGATGTTGGACCTGGCCCAGAGAGCTTAGCAGTATTGATTCGGACAGATGAAGATGGTATGTTGCCTCCACTACATCAGTTTGCACCTCTATGACTCTGTCATCTGCTGTCTTTTGTGTAGGCTAACAGTATTTTTTCTGCTCCTTTTTTTTTTTTTTTTTTTTTTTTTTTTTTTTTT